AAACAGAAAAGAATTGGGAAAGAGCAAAGAAGGAGAAGAAAGACTAGAACATTGCTTAGCTTTAGATTTATTAGATTGTTATTTCTATTTAAAGTTAATTTATTTCAGCCTTATTTAAATTCCATTAAAAATGTAATTTTGTTTCATTATTGAAATTTCAGCTTTCAATTAAATTGTTACTTTAAATTTATTTTATTAAAGCAATGAAAAACCAAAAAAAATTAATTTTCCAGAAATCTTTCGAGTACGGAAGTCGAAAATTTTCCGAAAAACACCGAAATTCGCCCAGATTTTATGACTGAATTGGCGTCAATAATTGCAGATTGGCGCCAACTATTGAGGTCTGGCGCCAGACTCTGTTCTGTGACGCCAGTTGCTTTTCCGACTTTTGTTGACTTTTTGTTGATTCTGGAACGCGGAGATGTCGAAAAATAAAGTGGCCGCACCCGTAATGGGTTGCCTACGTATCCTTTCCTAAGGAATCAGGCCGAACGTAGCTCCCTTGAGTGTCCTACTCAAGTAATTATGGGTAGTATTCTTTAAGTTGGTCAAGATTGGTCATGTTTGAGAATTCATTGCCTTCCATGTCAGTTAATTTTGCTGCACCACCTGACATGATTGTTTTGACAATGTAGGGGCCAGGCCAATTAGGTCTAAATTTTCCCCTTGGATCTAAAACATTTTTCCTTTGCGCTTTTAATACCAAATCTCCTACTTTGATATTTCTTGTCTTGACCTTCTTATTAAAATGTCTATCCATACGAGTTTGATAGCACTGAGTGTGATGTAGAGCTTCTAGTCGTTTTTCGTCGAGTAGGATCAATTCTTCATATCGTGCCCTAGTTCATTCGACTTCATCGAGTTTACTCTCTAGCGTAATACGTAGAGATGGTATTTCTAGTTCGACGGGTTGTACGACATCCATTCCATATACCAAAGAAAATGGTGTATTTCCTGTTGTCGTATGGATTGTCGTGTGATAACCCCACAATGCAAAGTGAAGCTTGTCAGGCCAATCTTTATAATTTTCTGTCATTTTCTCGATGATAGTCTTTAAGTTCTTATTAGCTGCCTCGACTGCTCCGTTTGCTTGAGGTCTATAAGGGGACGAATGATGATGTTGGATACCATATTTATGTAGAGAATCTTCACATTCGGCTTGAAAGTGAGTTCCATTGTCACTTATCATTTCATGTGGGACTCCATATCGACAAATGATATTTCTCTCGATAAAGAGTGCTACATGTTTTGCGGTAAGTTTAGCATATGATCGCGCTTCAACCCACTTCGTAAGGTAATCAATTGCTACTAGAATAAATTCATGGTCTCCTGTCCCTGGAGGAGTGATCTTGCCAATTATGTCAATTCCCCATGTAGAGAATGGCCATGGTGATGTGTAGGTGTAGAGCAAAGATAGGAGAACGTGTTGTAAATTGGCATAAATTTAACACTTAGGGCATCTTTTCACATATTGATGGCAGTCCCTATTCATGGTAGTCCAATAATACCCTTCTCGCATTATTTTCTGGACTAACATTTTGCCATTTATATGAGTTCCACAGATTCCTTCGTGGACCATTCTCATTATTCTTTGTGCATCCACCTTCCCTACGCATAGGAGAGCTCGACCTTTAGGTACCCTTTTATGTAGCTCGTTGTCTATGAGTACATATTGAGAAGCCAAAAGTCTCAAGGCTCGTTTTGCTCTTTTGTCAGCATGAGGAGGGTATTCTCCATTGGTGACGTAGTTGAGAATGTCTGTGTACCATGGTTCTTCTTCTTGTTCTTCATCTTCGTCTTGGACTGGGTTGTCGTCTTCTATAGCCTGTATATATGCTGGTTTGTGTCTACTTTCGATAGTTAGGGGCATTTGCTCGATATCCGTGGGAATCCTAACCATTGAGGCTAATCTTGCCAAGGCATCAGCAAATTGGTTTTCTTCTCTAGGTAGATATGTGTATTCTACCTTCTCTAACTTATCGGTAAGAGTTTCCAGATAAGTTTGGTAAGGGGCTAGGCTTTCGCTCCTTACTTTCCACCTTTTAGATATTTGATTGATAATCAGAGAAGAGTCTCAGAATATCCTTAACTTCTTTACTCCCAAAGCCAGGGCTGTTTCAAGGCCTACCACGCATGCTTCATATTCAGCAGCATTGTTGGTAACGTCGAAATCGAGCTTTATTGAGATTGGGACGTGTTCTTCTTTAGGTGATACTAGTAGCACTCCGACACCACATCCCTTTTGGTTTGAGGCTCCGTCGAAATACAAGGTCCAAGTATCATCTTCGGTGACCATCAAATCTTCATCTGGAAATTCATTGTCCTGTATTGGTGTCGAGTCTTCTATTGGAAAATCTGCCAGAAAGTCTGACACCACAGATCCTTTAATAGCTTTTTGTGGCATAAACCGCACATCGAACTGGGCTAAGTTGACTATCCATCTTGAAATACGTCCATTGAGTGTTGATTTCTCAAACAAGTATTTGAGTGGATCCAATCAAGATACTACGAAAATGGTATGCACCAACATGTAATGTCTCAACTTAGTCGTGGCCCACACCAAAGCGAGGCACAATTTCTCGAGTGGTGTGTAGCGTGTTTCGTATTCGAGCATCTTCTTACTTAAGTAATAGATTGCATTCTCTTTGTTTTCTACCTCTTGTGCTAGCATGACTCCCATTGTCTCTTTGGTAACCGTCAAATACAACCTAAGAGGTATTCCGGGAAGTGCTGGCGATAATACGGGAGGATTTCCGAGATAGGCTTTGATCCGGTCAAAGGCTTTTTGACACTCATCATCCCATATTACTGGTACATTCTTCTTGAGCTTTTTGAAGATTGGTCACATATCGTTGTTAGTTTTGATATGAACCTACTTATGTATTGCAACCGGCCAATGAATCCTCGAATCTATTTCTCGGTCTTGGGCGGTGGCATCGACATGATTGCTTTAATCTTGGTTGGATCTATCTCTATTCCTCTAGAGCTTATGACGTACCCCAAGAGCTTGCCTGAGGTGACTCCAAAAGCACATTTTGATGGATTCAACCTCATATTGTATTTTCTTAACCTTTCGAAGAATTTCCTTAAGGTTACTTGATGGCCTGGACAGTCCTTTGATTTCACAATCATGTCGTCGACTTATACTTCAACTTCTTGGTGCATCATGTCATGAAGCAAGGCAGTTGCTGCACGTTGGTAAGTAGCACCTGCGTTTTTCAACCTAAATGGCATTACCGTGTAACAGTAAGTGCCCCATGGTGTGATGAAAGTTGTCTTCTCCATGTCTTCTTCCGCCATGAGAATCTGATTGTACCCTGCGTATCCGTCCATGAATGAGAGAAGCGCGTGATTTGCTGTGTTGTCTACCAGAATATCGATGTGTGGCAAAGGGAAGTCGTCCTTTGGACTTGCCTTATTTAGATCTCGATAGTCGACACACATCCTTACCCTTCCGTCTTTCTTTGGAACAGGGACGACGTTGGCGACCCATTCGGGGTATTTGGATACCTCGATGAAACCTGCAGTTATTTGTTTTTGAACTTCTTCTTTTATCTTAAGTGCTACGTCGGGTTTCATTCGACGTAACTTTTGTTTTATAGGTTTCATTCCTAGTATTAATGGTATAGTGTGTTGAGCTATTTCTCTGTTAATGCCTGGCATATCTTCATATGACCAAGCAAATACATCGATAAATTCTTTAAGCAAGTTAATTAAATCGGTTCTTTCTTGTTTATTCAATGTTAGTCCGATTTTAACTTCTCTTTTATGAGTTGAATCATTTGAGATGTCAACTGTTTCGGTCTCTTCAATTATCGGTGTTTTCTTTTCAAGTGTTTCCATTGCTTTAATAATTTCTTTATCTTTTTCATCGTTAGCTAAGCAATGTTCGTCATCTTGGGTTAGGGAAGAACACGAGAAGTAAGAAGAATGAGCGATATTATTATACTCTGAGATCATTATATCAAAGAGTGATATGTCCTCAGGGACTGGATCACTAACTATCCTAGGAGAAGAAATAGGAAGGGGAGGCGTTATAGCTAAAGACCCAGAAGATTCTACAGGGAAAGACTCTGACTCAGACTCTGACTCTGACGATTCTTCAAACATCGGCCCTTGCCCTGTCGTGATCGATATCTTCCTTCCACTCGGAGTAGTCACCTTGATAGTCTTGCGCCACCCTTGCAGCGATCCTTCGGCTGGAGTAATTAGCTTTGAGGGGTTGAAGTTTTCGCTTTGTAGGACCGTTTGAATGAGTGAGGAGTTATCTTCCTCATAAACTGGCTCATTCTTTTCTCGCCCAAACAGTAATCCCATGACGTTAAAGTCAAAGCATGGAGGTGCTTTCTCCTTATGGACGGGAGTTGGGATTTCGTCAATGAAGTAGCAATCCAAGAAAATCTTGAATCCTGGTTGTCGTATGCCATTTACAACAAATGGTTCGGGAAATTCATGGCATGGATAGTCCTCTCCTTCTTTTATAAACTGACCATTAAGCGTAAGGGGGTACTGATCCATTGGAATTTCTTTCTTTTGAATGCGAGCGTCCCTACGTGCTTTCAATTTGTCCTGGGCTCGCTTGAGATCCTTCCGAGTCGGTTCGAAACCAAGTCCAAAAGTATCTAGTTTAGGGAGGCCAGGTGACTCTATCGATTTTGCTATCCCCTTCTTCTTTCCTAAGGTCATCCCAGGGAAGTGTCCTTGTTTCTTTAGCATAGTGTTGATAATCATGTTGGAATGGGGGTCGTGGAAAAGAGATGTCCTTTTATCCTCTTGGATTAAGGAGACTTCTTCGTTAAAGCCCCATAGGTCTTCATCGTCTTCGTCGTGCTCCACGTTGATGATTGGATTCTCTATTGATTTGATCCTCATTGGCGAAGCATCAATAGTGATGGGGATTCCTCCAACTATGGCTTTCACTTGTTGGTGGAGAGATGAAGGGACGGCCTTTAGATCATGGAGCCAAGGGCGTCCTAACAACAGATTGAATGAGGCTTTGAAGTCTACCACTTGAAAAGTAGTAGCATGTTCTATTGCTCCTGCCGTCACATTTAGGGTTATTTTGCCAAGAGCTGTCCTCCTCAGCTGTCCTCCTGCCGTCACATAATCTTTGCATTAGTACAAGGTTGTTATCAATTTCATGCACATATTAACACAATCATGAACCAAAAAAAAAAAACTTACTAGCTTTCATCCCTCAGATCCTTCCACCCTTTCACAAACATGTCCAAACGCTTATCATAAATTGTTTCCCGATTCATCAAACCCACATCTTTCCCATTATTGCTCGAATTTCAAGATTCTTTGTCCTCCTCAACTGGGGGAGTCCTCTCTTTAGGAGCATTCAACAGTTTCGCGCCCTTGTTACTGCTGCCACTAAGACGAGGCTGGCTCCCTTTAGCACTGCTAAGAGTGTGCATATCTTCATTGTTCTTCGTTTGACCAGCCTTGGACCCACTACCTAGTGCACTGCTCACTATCCCCTCAACTAGACTAACAAGTCTAGGAGTTAAAAGAGCAAACACCTACACAAACCAAGGACAAATACAATAAATAGGTGAAAATAAGGTTGTAGATGAAGACTTCTTTATCACAAGTGCATATATATGAGTATTAATATGTTTTCTGAATTACAAAATATATATGAGTAATAATTCTCATATATATTTTATCACAAGTGCATATATATCACAAGTGTCTAGCATCTTTGTATCTCAAATTTCAGGTCAGAAAGTAAAGAATTTTGGGGCTACGAGGATTTTTACTACGAGGATGAAAAGGAACTGTGACACATGTAAATCAATTCTCTATGAATCCAATCTCATCCCTTCCTTTGTTCAGGCAGGGCAGCACTCACACTTTTTAACTCCACCCTTCTTAAAGGTTCAAAATCCTCGAATATTTAAAGAAACAACAAACAACACTTTTCAACAGCACTACAACACTATATTCATTAAGTCTATATGCTGCAATAAGTTTAAGCTGTACATTTGTACTTCTTTTAGGCTAAGTCTACTACACTGTATGAAAATACTTGCAAAGAAATTATTGTTTTCTAAATTAATGATTTAAAAAATCACAAGTGCTTATACATGTGCTCAACACAATCCCCTCAAATAGTATAAATCAAGTCATAAGTGCATATATATGTTACACTGTATGGAGTAACATGTGCTCAACACTATCCCCTCAAATAGGAAATCAAGTCATAGAGTACAATTTATGTTTTAAACACCGCAAAAAAGAGATATCCCCTGATCACATGCTCGGTTCTACTTTCCTTATTTCTAATATTTCAGAACAAGGCCAATTACACAAAAGTAATTGGCCTTGTATGCAATGTCTATGATAATCGCAAAAAATTAACTGATCTCATGGTCATTTAAAACAGAAGGAAATCATAACACACTCAACTCAGATTCCAAACTGGTACAACGTATTAAACAGATAACCTATGATAACCTATGATAAACTTACAAGGAAAGCATATATTAACAACAACATCATTAACATTACTTACCTGATTTGCCATTGAAGTAACAAAGTTAGTAATGGAATTATTATCAACTCTATTTTGCACCATCTCCAATTCTCCATCATCACGTGGCACGAGAGGATGGTACTCCCCATATGCAATGTCTAGAACCTGTTACACACACAACTACATAAATCAATTGACATCCGGAATAAATGATTCACCACAATTTATTTTCAAACTTTTATTGTGAACTCTAACCGGCAAATAGCCAAACTCTTCCTCAGACTTCCGATCTTCATCTACAACTGCTCTCAACTTTTCCGTATCCCACACCATCAACCTAGGGTAAATACCCCACCTATTTGGTACCCGATGGAGGTGATCGAAATAAAAAATCTGCATTTTCAAAAAAATAAACATCATTACCATATATTATCTTAATGCATTACATAACCAAATAGATAATGGTAACCTTACCATAAGAAACACAAAGCTCCCACCACACCCGCATCGAAAACCATCTTTCTGGAACTTTGACTGAAATCTATCAGCACAGTCACGCACCCAATCAATGGTGAACTTGCACCAATCATACTCTCCAGCAATACATGCAACTGCCAATGTTGGCACTAAGGATGCAGCCAAGTTCTAACTATTTGTGGTCGTGCACACTATCATCCCAAGGGCAACAATTAGGAAAGCAATCATGAAGTCCTCTTCATCCACTTCAGACTGCAACTCCACGAGAGAACCATCTTCAAGCTCAGGGCACATGGCTTCAGCTGCAAGATTCAGAGAGACTGTTTCTCCCTTCAACCCAACTCCGTATTGTTGAAACACCCGCATAATCTTCTGGGTATCCTCTTCATCATCACCAAGAACTACTGGAACTTCCTTGCTTCCCATAGGAATACCAGGGATGGACCTCACTTGTTTCGCACCCAAAGGAAGAATTGAACCATCTCCAAAGATCATGGTCCCATCACCAAAAACCCTGGTCATCAACCAGTAACAAAACTGCCTCGGGATATTTTTCATATCCAGATGCAGCAAGCCCCCAAATCCCATCCTCTGAACCAACTCCCTTCTCTTCTGATCAAACTTCTTCACCAAGAAACAAAACTTTTCCACTCTGCACACAATATTGGGCTGCTGCATTACAAATTATAATGAATAAATTATAAACAACCCCTTCTTACCAAACACATAATACTCACATTGTTGTACCTTCCCAATATTCTCATAATGTGTCCGTAGGACTGAACCATCAGCAAGTACTCTATGTCCTTCTGTTTTAATACCCTACAAATACAAAAAATAACTAAGTACTTCTCACATTTCACATATGAAGATGCCACATATATACAAGTTTTAATAACCAAAACTTCTTCATTATATAAATACTTCTACTTACAATCAGACTCCATTACATAAATACTTCTTCATTATATATATAATTCTCCTTACAATCATACTCCATTTATCCAAATCAAAACAAAAAAATATAACAGATGATAAGTGTCACTTCACATTTGATTCACACTTGATTCACTATACTACACATAAATTATAACACCACAATTTGGTAACAAGAAGCTTCACTTTTATACTTGAATTATTTTGTTAGCTTTCACAACGCTTACCACTTACAAAAATCAAGCTCAAAAGGTCTACATACAAATTTCAAACAAAACTAATTCACAAAGGCTGACACAAGAAAACTACCTTCTTATTCGCCCCGCCGGACTTGCCTTTTCTCTTCTTATCCTTTCTCTTCAAGTACTCCTTCATCATCACCTTCATAAATCCAGAACTTGAATCCGAATCACCATCACCGCTCGAATTCACAGATTGCTCATGATCATCATCTTCTTCTTCATACTCTTCCAAATCATATTTTGCCTTGCGTTTAGCAGTCGCCAATGGTTTCAATTTCCCCACACACTTGAGGTTCGATGACGAACCCACAGGTTTGCGTACCTCCCTTTTTAATGGACCCTGAAAACCATTACTACTAAGTTAGTTCTACACTTTAAACAATATTCACTCGCTCACCAATCCATGTAACAACAACAAACAAATACTCACCCCCCACTTTGTCCGATTCATCGATCGTACAAGTGACTTCTTCTTCATGACTGCCCACAACTTGAAACCACAGATTAGCTTTTAAAAAACAATTCTATTATTATAACAAAACATCTTACAACTAATAAGGCATCTTACAACAACACATCTTACAACTAATAAAGCATAAAATCCATTATTATACTTTTCAACCATTTCAATCACATTGAGTAAACCTACATTATTTATACTGAATTCATCTTATTAAGCCTCCAAATTCATTGCTTTTGCATCCCAATTCTACCACATTTGCTTCTCAAAAATCATTACTTTCACACAATAACAACAAATAATTACTTCATCACCATAAACCCATCATCACCATAACCCCACATAAACCCATCATCACCATCAACCATGAATGCAAATATACGAGACACAAAAGAAAAAAATTATCTTTACCCTTACAATAATCACAATCTTTTCAACATTCACATAAACATATATTGTGAACACAATAACATAATTTTTTCCTCCAACAAAAAAAAACCCCATAGTTAAGATACTATCATATACATCAAAGCCCAATCTCAAAACACAGGAAAACTTTGAATTTAGAAGCTTCTCTCCATCTTTCTCTAATCAAATAAAGTAGGCGACCCACAACAAACATAATTCATAACATTTAATTTTAGTCCAGCCAAAATGAATTAAAGATCCAATTGTGTGTAAACAAAATTTTCAATTGTGTAAACAAAATTAAATTTCCATTTGTGTAAACATCCGAATTAACCAAAATCAACCCTTTTTTCGTTGAACCCAACCGAATTCTACCCAACCATACTGCAAGTATTTCAATTAATTATTTTATTTAACCCTAATTAAACCTTCACTTTACACAATTCCGTTCATTTCATCGCCAATTTGGGACAATTACCAACACGCGACCACAATCCTCCAAAAAGCGCGACAATACTACATATTTTAAATAGTTTCTGCAAATTGGCCACCCACAATTAACCCCCAAAACCCCAATTTTACCCAAACATACACTTCAACAACAATACAGGTTAAACCCTATCTTTTTCATCTCAAATATCAGGTTAAACCCTATCTTTTTCATCTCAAATATCAGGTTAAACCCTATCTTTTTCATCTCAAACATCAAAACATTATAATATATATACGTACCTACCAACAATTGATGGATGTGATGGACAATTCGAGGAGAAGGACGACCAATTTGGTACGAAACGATGAGAACCTCTCAGTGATCTTGAAGGAGAAGGAACGTCTTCGTCTTCAGATAGAAATTTTGAGGTAACACAAAGAATGAGTGAGAAAGAAAGAAAGAGGGAGACGGAAATGCGAACAGGCACAGACACCGAGCTACTGCAAAAGAAAGGGACAACTCAGACTTTTTTCATTACGGGATGCTTTTACCTCGAAACGGGAACACAAGCTGGCATAATTCAAAAAACATGTTAAAGGACGTTGATGCCCCTGCGAGACAACCCCATATATCTCGCAACCCTCCGTTTAGAAACCGTCGTTTACGTGGCACATAAACGTTTTTAGAAACGCTTTAATTTTTATTATATTACTCGCTCCTTCTCATAATACAATGCTTCTTTGGATTTTTTACGCGGGAATTAAAAAAAGTTGTAAATTTCCTAAAAATGATTTAAAGTACATATGTGCATGTAGGGTTAGAGAGAAATAAAGAGACAGAAAAAGTAGTTGGGAATAATTGAAGAGATAGAGAGAAAAAATGTTGGAAATTAATATTAAAAGTACAAAAAAAAAGAAAAGGAGAAAAAGATGACAACTCATCACAAAAAGGGTAATAATGTCAAAAAGTACAACCTTTAAATAGAAATAGGAAGTATAACAATTGTACTATATGCTAATTTTATTTCAACTACAAAGCATATACATATTCATTCTTGTTTATTTGAGAATGAGTACTGAATAGATTAAGTGGTTAGAGCTCTTTTCCACCTTTTAAAATCAATTCTCATCACTCGTCCTTGTGGTTCTCTAAATACTATCTCTGTTAATTTTTATGTGCAATTTTGGAGTATTATTTGTGAGATATAAAATGTTCCAAAGTTGCACATAAAAATTAACAAAGGTAGTATAAATAAAAAATAAATAATAATTAAAAAAAAATCATGTTCATATTAATACGGACTAACAACTGAACAACTCAATGCAATTATGCAACTCAACTAACCTATGATTGGGTGTAATCCATGGGACCATAAGGCTCAAACCACTCGGCCCAAAATCCGTTCTTTCTTTTTGGATTCCAATCCATATCTTTGCAAAGTTGATCATTATACCAGATGTGGAGAGCTCCAATGCAAGTCTTGCTATCACGATTCTCTGAATTTTTCGCAATTAAATTTTCCGTGGTTAATATATCTTCCTCCATGTCTTGAATACTTGGCAGCTTGAATTTCCCTCCAAATAGTTCTGCCAACCAACGACATTTCAACTCCGAGGAATAGAGATTTGCTAAACTATCTGAAAACCCTATTATCGCTAGTTGTGGAATTCGCGGATGTATACATTCCCTGTATCAATATACATTTTGTTAGAACAACATATTTTAGTTGTATGCTAGACCAAAAGTATAAACATTAAAAATACTCTGTAATACAAATGTAGAAGTAATTATATTCGATCATGATATTCATATCTGGGAGATTAATTGGGGAGCCTTAAGTACATTTTAAGACTGGGAGATTAACTGGGTCTAATTAGATTTATCTCATTGTATATTTTATAAATAACAAATTTTTATGATTTTTACGAGTACGAATATGGAGTTATATCGAAGTACATTTTAAGACTGTGAAAAGTTAATGAAGCAAGAAAATTGGGACGGAGGCAGTAGTAACGAATACAAACCTGTATAGTGGAACAAGGGTATTGATATTAGGGGGCATAATATAGTCCTGAAATTTGGTTGATGAAAAAATGTGTTTGAGCTTTTGTTCTCCTTTGAAACCAGTAGCAAGAATGACCAAGTCGTTGTTGACGAGTCGGGGCGGTTCAAGTTCATTATTGCTAAGCAAGATCCCCTCTTTGCAAAAATGAAACCTAGAACATTTCTGTAAAACGATGCTCCCTTCCTCAACTTTGTCATAAAATTCTTGTGGAACTGTTGATATTAAACATGCATTCATTTCTTCTAATAAGCTACGTTCCGGTACCAATCCCAACTTCTCTAGTCGATGCATACGCTTCACTTCTCCCTCCACAACTTTACAAATCGCCCATTTCTGCATTTCATTTCGGTACAACCAAGGTTATTTCTTTGTCCATATAATGTGCTTTATAAAACTTTTACACTGGTTGACCGCTTGAAATATGACTGTCATATTAGTTTAATGACAAACAATGTGAACGGTTCATTTTCACATTATAATATGGATACAATTAGTTTTCTAATCCTATATATAAAGTGAAAGGACCTTTTTGTTTTCAAAAAAAAGAAAAGTAAAAGGGCCTTTTGGGTGATAAATTTCACTATCCCCAAATTACCCTTCTTAAGTTGCAAAATTACCTTTTTTTTTACAATTACAATAAAAATTTAAGAATTATTTAAAAAAAAAATCGTATCATAACTACCCAATAATTCAACTGTTCTCACTCCCCATAAAATATAAAACCACTCTTGAATCGATTTTTTTTTTTTTCATCTAATTTCTTATATGGTACACGCGTAGCATGTATATCTTAACTTTTATCTAATATAAATTTTTGAAAATTTTAATCCAACAATTTTTTTTTGAGAAACTATAAAATAAAAATAAAAACTACATAAATAATGAAACTAATAATTTCATAAATAATAAATTTTTTGATAGTGATATAATTTATTATTCAGAAGTTTTTCAGTGCGACATGTCACATGGTGCGGCAAGGGTTACTTGTAAGGTGTTACTGGTTTTGTCCGAGGTTACTTGTATTCTTGTAGGTTTTATTTATATGCTAAGTAACCCCTACAAGTAACCCCATACCAAATCAGTAACACCCCTACAAGTAACCCATGACCAAAATCAGTAACATTCTACAAGTAACCCTATAATACAAGTAACTCCAAACCAATCCCTCATACCAAACCAGTAACACTCTACAAGTAACCCATGACCAAAACCCGTAACACCTTACAAGTAACACCCTATAAGTAACCTATGTCGTATCATGTGGCCAGCTGTTTATAAAAATTTGTATTTATTATTTAGAGAAAAATACGTCAATTATGAATCACATAATCATCAAAACATTATATTAACGAATTATAAGGTTTGACCTTGAATTATTATGAGACATCAATATACAAAATTATATTACCAGTGACCAAAAGATTAAAGCTAGGAGAACTATGAGGAAACCATCACTGGGCTTGCGAACCCAAACTTCGGCGAAGCGATTCAGATACAAATATGCGAGAGGTGATCTCCACAAGAAGTAATCCGGTACGTTCCAATACACATTCCGGTAGATCATTGTACATGGATTATCTAATCCTGTATAAATATATACAAGTATAAGATCGTTTATATTAAGTGGTCTTGTTGAGAGCAAATCTATATGTGAGTGAAAGTGTTATCCCCGTTAAAAAAAATTATATAAAAGTATCATATCTCACATTAACAAAGTAGAAAATTGTGTCCACCATAAAAGGCTAAGGGATTCATCCCCTCATTGTCATAGGGTTTTAACTTTTAAGGTGAGACCCCCTTGACTCCTTAGTTGTATAAGTGGACTCTCACAATGGGTGTAACCCAGGCCCGTTTATCAGATCTTAAATCAATAATGTCAATTAAATTGTTGAAATATTATACACACATTTAATGTGAAATTTAAAATTAATCCCTCCAAAATTGATGGTCACGTTCACATACACACCTTAAAATGGACATATGCAATCACTCTTTCCCTTGGCTTCATTAGCAGTCTAGGGTTTCAGTCACAGTTTCCTGGTATCGAGTTTTCGACACGTACAAAATTAAACCTTACCATTAGCGATGACACACTCCATAGCGACGTCCATGGCTGTTTTCCCGAACCCAACGATAGTAACTTGCTTCCCTCTAACCAAGTTTCTGGCAGCTTCGTAGTCCAAGGCAGAATACTCCATTGAATGGATCACGTGAGATTCACATGCTTCAGGTCCTTTATTTGTTGGGTATTTTGGTACATTTGGTACTCCACTGAATCGCCCCACACATAAGATCACAAGATCCACTTCCATCACCTGTGCTCAAATTTAGTCTTAATTAGACAATATTCTTAATTTGTTTATTTTACATAAAAGTCTTATGTACGTGTTGGGGATAACCAAAGCGAATATTTCAAGTGGGTCAAGTTAATGGGGTATATAAATCAATCATGGAATTTTTAGATTGAGTTGATAATATTTCAAGGTATTATTAGAGCCAACGTGACACAATGATCATGAGTTCAAATCTCATTCACCCCTAACATTCAAGTGGAATATTTCGCGCTGGTTTTGAGGGACTCATGGCGCATCCTCATTTCAAGCTATGAGGGGGTCCGATAGGGCACACAAACCAATCCTAGACTTCAACCATTACCTTAACCTTTTGATTGAGAAAGTCCTTTAATAGGTGTATCTTGTACTAGACATTTATCAAACTCTTCACGTACACACGTAACACGTCCATGTATTAGTAAAAGTGGTAGTAACTCACAACTCATAAATAACAAGGAACTCTACCCGCAAGACCAAGCAAAATTTAATTTACATCGTCTAAGAAATACAAAAGCATGTACATGAGGATTAGTAATATCGTACTTCAGTTGAAAGATTATAGAGGTTTTGTGTCGCGACAAGCCATTTACCCCCGTTGCCAAAAGGGTCACCATTACCGCCCCAAAGAGTCCAAGACTGTAGTTCTTCATTGGAAGGACCTTCATAACTGATGCTAATAACTTTAGTACTAAACCTAATGTGCCTGAGCAAATCAAAATACTTAGCATAAGAATTTACATAATCCAATACCTGAACACAAGTTGGGAAAAGTTGATTCAACGAGGAAGGCCAAGGAAAATCAGAGAATTGATATAATGGTTTAGGACTTTGAAGTTTGGTTCTTTCTAATGTTTTGGCCCAAACACCCCCACTAATGTCTAGTGCCTCAAAAACTATGGGGTAATGACCTTTACTAAGGGTATATTTGCATGCTAGGAGACCACTAACACCTGCCCCTACTATAGCTACTTTCTTTTGCATCATGTATATTGTTGACATACAATTGGTGAAATGGTGTGGATTCCAATAAATTTCATGGTGTATAAATAATGAAACATATCTAGAATTGGTTCTCCATCTTTTACACTTTGTTTGGATAGGAAGAAATGGAAGGAAAAGAAGAGAAGAGAAATGGAGGGGGACAAAATCTCTTGTTTGGGTAAAAGATTGGGGGAAGGAAGGGGAAGGAGAGGGAGGGATCCATTTTCCCTTTCTCTATAATAACCATAATCTCTCCAAAATTGGAGAGATTTGGAGGGAAAATGGAGCTCACCTCCCCCTCCCTTTCTTTTCCCTTCCCTTCCTCCATTTTCCCTCCCCTTCTTTTCCTTCCTTCTTTGCTATCCAAACAAAGCGTTAGCCTACAATCAACAATTTTATTTTACGTACTCCCTCCGCCCCTTATATTTTTTTTCCCATTTGATCAACTTTCCACGATCTCTGAGATGTGTCTTAAAACGATTTTATCTCTATTTTCATAAGTTTAGTATTAATTAAATATAGATTAAGACTTCTTTTAATATATATATATATATATATATATATATATATATATATATATAGAATAAGACGAATTAAGAAAATGATTATATTATCTCTTATACATTAATGGTATTTCCTTAACTTTTAAAAAGATGTTTTTAGTTTGCTTCCCCCCCCCCTAGTTTTCTTAGTTGTTTTGTTTGTTTTTGGGGGCTTTGCCCCTCTCATTCACCAAAAAAAAAAGGTATGAGAAAATACTTATGAATATCATAAAGGAAATTATATCCTTAAAATATTTGTTTACTTATATGTCCGTATTGATTTAAAGTTAATTGTCTCTAAGCTTTTCATTGTGTGATTTAGTGATTTAGCTCTTATGGATAGTGTTTTGATAATTATTCCCTCTAAAATATTTATTTACTTATTTGTCCTCATTAACATTCGTTGTGGCCTTTTTAAATTAGTGTATGGACATTTATACCCCTAAACTTATTGCTTACATATATTTCCCTTGTTATGTTGCCAACATCTAAAACAGCTCCCAGAAAGGCAGAAATAGCTAGATTTAGCGCATCGGACTCGTTAGCCACTCTAGTTTGAGTTAAAATTTTCGGATTTTTCACCATATACCCTTGAGTTATTTTTTTATTCACCATATATCCATAATAAATTTCAAATTCACCATATACACTAGAGTTTCACAAAAATGACACAAAATGCCCTTAATGACTAACGACAATTAACTCTGTTAGTTATTAAGGCTAAATTTCCACATGTCAGCATCTGGTTGATTATTTTTTTAATTATTTAATTAATTTTCTAAAAAAAAACACCTCTAAAACCCAACCAACCACTTTTTGCTGACCACCACAACCCAACCACTTTCCCAAAATCGCCACCCCACCTTCCCACCACAGCCTAGCCTCCCCACCACATCGGCGCTACACCCCCCTAACCCCGCGCTGGTGCTCGCTCCATCCCCTGAACCATTTTTCCACCATACATTGAACCGTAAAAACCCCTCCCCGCCTAACCACCTGAGGTGAAAATCAGGCAACCTCTGATACCCTTCGTTGGCAGCCTAGATCCCCTCCCCGGCGTTGCTGCTTCCCACTTAGCCAAAAACTACCACTCATAACCCTAAAATCCCAAAATCAAAACCCTAGATTTTGATTTTGGGGTTTTTTATTTTGGGTTTTTTTGCATGGTGGTTAAGGGGGTGGAGATGGCAAAGGGGGTGATTTGTGTTCGCCGTCGTGGGAAGAGGGGTTTGGACGCCTGCGGTGGGGATGAAGGGGAGGGTTTTTTGAGGGAGGGAATAGGTGGTTTTGAAGATTGGTGAGAAGGTGGTTCAGGGTAGGAAAGGTGGTTTGTTAGCATGTGGGGTGTCGGTGTCTGGGTTCGCCAGCACGGGGGTTCAGGCGGAATCCGCACCAACGGGGGGTTGCGGGGACTTGGTGGTTGTTGGCTGGGCTTTGCTCTGGTGGTTGTTTTTTTATAATTAAATAAATTTAATTATTTTAAAAGTTAATCGTTTTAAAAGGCAGCCAATCATTTGTCGCCACGTGGGGAGGTAACTGTCGTTAGTTATTAAAGGCATGTTATAACATTTTAGTGAAACATAGAGCAACTACAATGGTTGGCTGATTTATTTAATAGCTTGGCATGCCACATAATTTTCTTAAGCTACAACAATTCAAGCTATTTGTTGCTTCAATAGTTAAGCTAGTTGTAAATTAATTTATTTTAAAATTAATAATGTTTTTTATCTAATAATTAATATTTGCCAAGCTAATTAGCACTACAAAGCTAATTTGCTTGCCAAAGCTAATCAATAAGATGTGCAACAATGGTGTAGCTACTAGCTTAAGATTTTTAATATTTGCAAGCTAGTCCTTTTTCCCAACCATGGAGAATTTTATTTGGAAAAAAAATGGATATTTGGTGAATAAAAAATACTCCCTCCGTTTTTTTTATTTGCATCACTTGTGTTTGCACGGAGTTTTAGGAGAGTGAATTTAGTATAATATAATAATGTGAGTGAATGAATAATTTATTATGGTAAAAGTGATGTGGAGACTATGAAAATGAAAGCATGTGAGAGAGAGTAGTGGGGACCATGAGAGAGAGAAATGATAAATTATTTGAGTGGGGATTAAAATAAGAGAGAAAATTATTAATCTATTCAATGAGATGATTCCGACAAGTACCCACAAGATTATATTTTTTCTTATGTATAAATCACAAACATTAGTCAAAGTAGGACAAATGAATAGTGCAAAAAATAGAAATGGAGCAAGTATTTAAAAACGGAGGGAGTATAAAGTTACTATATATAAAAGTGATGCAAATAAAATAAAAAAAACATCCATAAAAGGAAAGTGATGTAAAAAAAAAAACGGAGGGAGTAACTTAAGTGTATATGGTGAAATATTAGTAAAAGTTTTAAAGCTTGCTCCAAATTTTTGGGATGGGGGGTAAATAAAGTTAAAGGGATAGGAAGTAGCATATCTCAGTTTACAACTATTGTACAAAAATCCATCGATCATGTCTACTCTAGTAGCCTTTTTGTCATTCAAAATTGGACATTATTAGATCATGAAGTTGCTTCACACCTACAAATTACCGATAAAAATATATCAGACCTACATTTTGTTACTTATCTGATAGGAACCTGTCAAAAACTGGCACTGAAGACAACTATGGAAGTATTGGGTCTAAATACTACGTAAAACAGTAGCCTACAATTAAAGATTGCCGTATCCAAGGGTGTCGGAAATTAGTTCCTACATCTATAACGAATAATAATAATATGAAGAGTAGCTAACTAACTAGTAACTTACTAACTACACAAGCTTATAAAAGTGGTCTTTATAATAAAGAGGAGAGAGTCTAGACTACCTAGCTACAAGGTCGTAGGAGTTTCATGACCGATGATAGGTAATAGCAGTAGTATGACTGTACGAGTAACTCCTAAATCTAAGAGATTGTTATATACATACATTCTTGTATACCGTACACCCATGAGTATTTTATTCTCATTTTGATGATTGTTTTTCATTTAATCATTAAATGAAAGCAAATACTAAACTTGAGTGCATATAACAAATTCCACCAAAGAGGTCGTTTGGTTCGCTCGGGGCAATCAGAATGGAATGAACAAAGGGAAAGAATCGAAATGGAATGAAAATCCCCCAATTTTGCTGTGTTGTTTGTTTTGAATAACAAAGGAATGGAATGCCACTAGTCTAACCACCACACCACCACCACATTGCTTCACTTTCCACAATTTCCAGCCACCATCCAGCCACTCCACCACTCGCCGCCGCTCCCCACGCCCTCACAGATCTCCCCTCCCCCGAAAAAAACTCCCTTAGCCTAGGCCCGCAAAACCCTAAAAACAACTCCCTCTCCCCGTAAAACCGTCATCCGGCCCTCCCACCACCCTCGAAACCTTAGCCGCTAGGGTTTTGAGGGTGTAGGGATGGGCTGGCGACGGTTTTACGGAGATAGGGAGGGGTTTCTAGGGTTTTACGGGGGTTGTGGGATGTTTTTACGGGAGGGGAGGGGCGGCGAGGGTCTGGTATGAAGGTGGGCTGGTTTTCCGATGGTGTTGGTAAGTAGGAAGGTGGTGGTGTGATGGTGGCTAGGGAATGGGAATGGGAATGGAAATACCTAAGGGGTGGGGAATGAACTTGGAAGGATTTGGCACTACTAGAAAACACGTAAATTGCGACGGAAATTTCGTTGCAACCGGTTGTCGCAATAGTTGTTGTCGGAAAAACACCCTTTTCTGACGGAATTTCCGTCGGAAGCACTTTTTCGACGGAATTCAGTCCGTTGGAAGCGATTTTTAGGCCCGTCAAAGTCCGTCGGAAAATTCCGACGGACTGTTTTCCATCGGAAATGTCCGACGGAATTTCCGTCGGAAAGTGGTTTTAAAAAAACAAAAAAAAAAAAACCCACTGCCACCCCGTAACACAGCCTGTCGTCACCCAACACCACCAGCCCCAACCTATCACAACAAGCCAAACCCTAGTCGCAAAACACAAGAGAAAACTTACCACCACCAGATCCCCACCCACGAACCAAAATAAACCCCACCCACGAACCAAAACAAACCTAGATCCCCACCACCACCAGATCCTTGGCAATCCTGACCCAGACCCGATGACCCGACCCGAATGACCCGACCCATGACCCGAAATCAACCCGAAACCAGTGACCCAAAGTTGACCCAAAACCTGAATTAACCCGACCCGACCCAAAGTGGAACTGACCCGACCTTGACCCGAAACCCCGAAATGACCCAACCCAAAACGACCCGACCTGAGATGACCCGACCCGAAGTTGACCCGAGACCCGAAACGACCCGACCCGAAGTTGACCCAAGACCCGTAGTTGACCCGACCCAAAAATTTCCTCGACCTTTAACTTCTTTTAGTAAATAATTATATAAGTTATAAAAAGTTTATATTAGGAAATTATACATTAAAATA